TTATTATTATTATATTATTATTATTATTATACTAATAACTAATAGTGTAAATAATTACTGTTGGCAGGGGGTAATAGGTAAATAATAAGATTACTGTTTTTTTTGAGTAACTAACTCAAATGTATTTATATTATTTAGTATTTATTTATTTATTTAATTGTATTTATATTATTTAGTATTTATTTAGTTTTATTTATATTATTTAGTTTTATTTATATTATTTAGTATTTATTTATATTATTTAGTTGTATTTATTATTTGTTTTCTTGCTGTGACTAACACCGACCGGCAGGGGGCAGCATAGTGCGCAGAGCCGGAAGTCTGCCCGATACTCCAGAGAAGAAGAAGAACCCCGTTAATCCTCGTGAAGCGGGAATCGATCATGGACTGGTAAATCAATATTATTCATATTTAAACCTTAACCAGCTTCTGTTTATGTATATTTATACTTATATATGGGAGCATTTGTCTTATTCTTTATCCAGATAATCCGGTTAATCCGGTAACGAGCTAACGATGCTAACGGAGCCGTTTAGAATCATTGCTGATGCTAGGCGGCTAACACGCTGGTTTGTTGACATTATTCGACCAAAGCTGCGGATAAAAGTCGTTTATAGTCGATATTTAAGGTTAAATACAATACGTGCAAGTGTCAGACTGCACAGAGTTTGGATTTAAGTGCTAAAGCTGCTGATTAAAGATTAAAAAGATGAAAACAGCAGCTTTTTATTGGTGTTAGTCTGAGTAAAGCTCTTCAGAAACTCAGTTTTAATGAATAAAGTGGGTGTTTATGTCCTTATTTGTGTGTATTATTCAATAGGTAGTTGACTAGTTAAGTTATTTCTCTGTGCAATATTCCACCAAACACCTGTAGGTATAAAACGTGTGTTTATTGTAGCTATAACTCTTTATTTTCTTATTCTGTTGTGTATGTTGTTGTTGTATGTCTCTTCAGAAACTCAGTTTTAATGAGTACACTGGGTGTTTATGTCCTTATTTGTGTGTATTTTCAGCTGTTATTTAATATATATATGTAACTATCTCTCTGTTATATTCCACCAAACATCTGTATGTATAAAACGTGTGTTTAGTGTAGCTATAACTCTTTATTTTCTATTTTGTATTGTGTATTTTGTTGTGTTGTATCTTGACTCAATAAAGCCTGATCTTATATTGTATAAAAAACTAACTTAAAAGGTATTTAAAACACTATTTCAGTGGTGAAACATTTGTCAGACATCAACATAACTTTTTACTTCACATTGCAAACAAACGTCTTTATTTTCTGTCCCAATATCGACGAATAAAATCTGTTAAATTAAGGTTTTCTTTAATAACTTTATAGTTTATAGGATTTTCTCTTTAAATCATGATGATAATAATACTAATAATAGATATTAACCAGTGAACTTACAGGTGTTATATTGGAAAAGTTGACTTATTTCTTATACATGAAAATCCATTTTGTGAGAGCTTATAAAACCTGTTCTAAACAAACCTTTGACGTTACTTTAATCCTAATTTCAAGTATCTGTTAATGGTTTAACGTGAACAGATTATTCTATCAACAGTCGTGTTATTAGGCTTTTTATTGGGCTCAATTGTTTGAGTCATTTGACAAGCAAGTAGTTTTCAGAACTTAAAGATTTGCTCCGTGACTTGACTTTACTTTGTGATGGCATTTTTCATTATTCTCCAACATTTTTTTTAACAAAACAATGAACCATAAAGATTGAAATCAACACTGAAAACAATCGCTACCTGCTGCCTGTCAAAAGCTGGTGTTGGCAAATACTTTACATACAGAATACATCCGTCTCCCCAGAGACGTCTTATATTTACGAGACTTGCAGGAAAAAAGAAGAAATCTTTATTGTGGTATATGTTGTGACACTGACGCATACTTGTACTCGTCTTTGTCCTCCAGGGGTCAGGGTGAGCTGCCGTCTCCGGTGGTTCGAGATGACGAGGTGACGATCGCTGCCCGCAGGAGGAGGAAGAAGGTGGCCTGTATCCTCCAGCTCAAAGAGAGAGAGAGAGAGAGA